CGATTGATAAGCGTTATAACAATCACAGTTATAGCTTTCGAAGTTTTATAGCACACTAATTAGAGCGAACTGATAATAGACACGCTCCTGGCGCGTCGCGTTAGTTATATTTATAGGCATGGAAACGCTTTTTAGAAAATTCAGTCTTACATAATAATACTGGTTTAAGCGTTTACGTATATAGATATGTTGTTGCTTCCTACTATCGAGAATCGTCTACAACTTTGGAGAACAGGTGGAAGATTCGCAATACCTATCTAAAAGTATAAGTTATGGATGTTTCTAGATATAAACTCAATCCAACAAACGTTGACATTAATATAAATATGTAACAAATTCGTTATACGCAATACATATCCAACACTATAAGTTACGCATATTTCTAACTACAAACTTAATCTAAACAACATTCATATTAATAATAAATACATGACAACAAATTCGTTACACTGTACATCACTTCTCGGAGAAACTTGTGTCAATTTCATCATACAAAGTTAGTTTGTCTATATACAAAGTTTGTTTATATACTTTTTATGTTCTTTGTGCTTAACGTCTGACTTTACTATCATCTTAGCCTTATGTTACTACGTTCATGGGCTTAAACTGATTCATCAATACCAAGAAGTAGCAACTCGTATAAAACTACATGAAGCCATCAAACATCAAACGAAATTTACATAAAGAGCTAGTAAAACTTTGTCTGTCAGCATGATCCAAAAATACAAAACCCGATGCTGTAAACAACAGTGTAATCAATTTAGCGAACTTTCAACACTGAATCTCAAACCAAAGCCCTAAATATAGGTCTTAACTACGCAGTAGCTCCTCCTACCACCCAGTGTAAGATTTTATAACTAGCTTTGAAGACCTATGGAGGAAAGTAATATTAGAATCAAATCGCAACTAATCCCAAGTCCAAGAACACAAGAAAAATACCCGTGTAATTCATAGCACGACAACGAAAAGTCACCGGAAATATTCGACATTCCAAAAAAACAAGAAGTTAATGAGCAATTTTCCAACTAAACCAAAAGCAGGTCCATTAAAAACCTTCCAAGATGAATTTAGCAAAAATATTGAACAATAAGAAGCTTATAAAACAAAGTTTGAGATCAGCAGAAAGAAAAACCTAAAACGTCTTAGAAACAACGAAGACAGTCATCCAAAGAG